TTTTGGTAAATGTAGATTTTTTTTTTTTACATTGAGCTTCTTGATTCATTCCGACTTCTGTTTAGTGCATGGCGATAGACAGGGGCCCAGCATCATTTACTAAAGAGGCTTTTTTCTTCCAGTGAACATGTTTGGCACCTTTGTCAAAAATAGGGGGTTGACTGTGTTCATAGTTGTGTCTGCACAACAAGTTGTGTAAAGAAGATCTTTACACTCTTTCTCAGTGGCATATTCCATTGCCAGTACCATGCTGATTTTACCACAGTAGCTTGTAGTATAATTTCAAGTCAGGGATTGTGCTGCCTCTTGCCTTGCCTTTTTTCTCCAAGATTGCCTTTGCTATTCTAGCTCTCGTCCAGATGAATTTTATGACTGTTTTCTATATAGTTCCGTGAGCTATGTTAATGGTAGTTTGATCGGGATTGCATTAAATCTGTGTAACAGTTTTGACAAAATGACCATTTTCACTAAGGTGGCTCTTCCTACCCATGAGCAAGTGAATCATTCCATTTTCTGATACCCAATTTAATCTCCTTTTTCAAAGCACTGTAATTTTCAATATATAGATCCTTTACTTCCTAGACTATATTCATTCCTAAGTATTTCATTGTTTTGAATGTTATTGTGAAGGGTTTAGTTTTTCTAATTTCTTTCTCAGTGAGTTTGTTGTTTGTGTACAGAAATGCTATTGATTTTTGATTGTTGACTTTGTATCCAGCTGTGCAACTGAATTTGGTTATCAACTTTAGGAGTCTTTTGTTGGAGTTTTTGGGGTCTTCTATGTAGAGTGTCATGTCACCTGTGAATAATGATAGTTTCACTTTTCCTTTCCTATCCTCATACTGTTTATATCTCTCATTGTCCTATTTTCTGACTAATATTTTCAGAACTATATTAATGAAAGTGCTAGTAGTTACATCTTTGCCCTGCTCCTGATTTTAGAGTGAAGGCCTCCAGCCTTTTCCATTTAGTGTGATGCTGGCTGCTGGTTTGTCACAGATAGCTTCTAGCAGATTACAGTAAATACCATCTATTCTGATATTCTGTATGATTTTTAAATCATGTACAAGTCCTAGACCTTACCAAAAATTCCTTCAGGGTGTATTGAAATGATTATGTGATTTTTGTCTTTGGTTGTGTTGATAATTATGCATTTCATATGTTGATTTGCATATGTTGGAGCATCCCTGCATTCCTGGGCTGAATCCCACTTGGGCATGTCCTATAATCTTCTTGATCATTTGCTGCAATCTGTTTTCCAGTATCTTACGGAGGATTTTTGCCTCTATGTTCATGAGAGAGTTTGTCCTCTTTTTTTCTTTCTTTCTTTCTATCTTTCTTTCTTTATTTGTTACATCTTTCTCTGGTTTATTTTCAGGGTAACGCATGTCTACAGGAATGAGTTAAAGAGAGTTAGTTTCCTTTGAATTTCATTAAAGAGTTCAAATCTTCTCTAAATTTCTTGTAGAGTTCAACTGGATACGAGAATGGTTCTCATGATGGAAGAATGGAGCACAGCTCTGTAAGATTTCATCGCACTACTCAGATGATTTATCTGAAGCTCATAGATTGTTCATATCTGGTTTTTTCCATATAATTTTTTCAGGTGACAGAGTGTAACTAAAAACAAAGGAAAATTAAGTAATAGTCACTATTACACAATGGCTTGTGAGACAGTTAGATAAGAAGAATAAATATCCCTGTAAGACGAAACCACAATGCTTTTGCTTTACACAACCACAACTGTATTTGGACGATATTTAATTACTACTACTTGTAGTATACTCACAGTACAGAGATCTTCCCCCAAATAACCACAGGCACAACTTCTAAGTGGACTAGTGTAGGGTCCCTTGATTCCTACAGATAAACAAGGAGGTCTCTGTGTAGAAAGCCCTCTCTCCTCCCCACCAGTACATCACTTAATTATCCCTGTCCTTCCCTGAGTAACAAGCAGAAGTCTGCCTCAATCATCCAGTTCAGTGCTTGCCAGACAATCTGCTTTGAAGGACCAGTGTTTTTATTCACAGGCTGGTACATTTGTGAAATACAATGAAATATATTCCTCTGACTCTAGGAACTGACCTCCAAGTGTACTTTTAATCCTTGGGCTGATTTGCATACACATGGAGGAAACTCTCTGAGGTAAAGAGAAAACAATAGGCTGAGTAATTTCCTGAGCCCACACAGGCATAGGCACCGTGTTTATTCACAACAACCAAGATTCAACTGACATTGTAGCACGTGAGGCAGACACCAGAATCCTCCAGAAACTGATGCATTAACAATGGGATAAGGAAGTTCTCTGGTGTAGGCTGTCAGGTAGAAGCTGGGCAAGTTCCTAAACAGAATAGGAGGAACCTTGGAGGGGTGGAGTACAAGTCAGACAGCCTCCTTTCTGGACACCAAAAGTCTGGCAGCAACTGGCAGTGTCCACGCTTTCTGGCCACTCTTTCTGTCCATGCTTTCTGTCCGGTTCACCTGTATGAAAGCCCCTGAACATGAAAATCTGTGGTTTTCTACTTTTTGGAAACCCTCTCCCCATTAATGGGGGGACTCTCCTTTTTTTCTTCTTCTGATTAAATGGGCACTTGGTCATCCTCCTTCAAAACAATTCTCCATCTAATGACATAGCATTCATAGATGTAGCATCATCAGAATTGTCAGACATGTAAACAAGCAGATAAATATCATCTATAGCCAAGAGAAAACAAACAGTAGAAAGATACCAAGAAATTACACAGATGATAAGATTATCATTATGAAAGGAAATAATTATAAATCATTAAAATTATGCATAAAATATATTAAATCTCCAAAGAACTATAGGGACATGAAGAGTTGAAAAAGACACAAGAGTCAAACAGAACTTCTAGAGATGAGAATAAATTAGATAGGATTAGTATCAGATGAGAAAATGTAAGAAAAATCTCAGCAGACTTGAAGGAAGAGCAATAGAAATGGTTAAAACTGAAGAAAGATAAAGTAAGTTGAAAGGAACAGTCCCTGAGCTGTGGGGCAAACCCAAGAGATCTAATGTGCATGTTGATAGAAACCTCAGAAGAATATAGAGGAAAGATTGTTAATAAGGACGGAGAAAATCAAGGCTTAACTATAAACCTACCAATATGAGACAAACGGAAAGATATCTACTCCACGGCTCACTGTAACTGCCTTAGTCCATTTTGTGTTATGCTAAAATTCCTGAGGCAAAGTACTTTTTAAGGAAAAGATAAATATTTGGCCCATCATTTAGGAGGCTGGAAAGTTCACACAGCATGGTGCATCTGAAATTTATGTGCACTTCTCAGATGACAATGTGATGCAGGACAGGGGTTCACTTTCCTTTAAATAATTTTCTCTGTGTCACTATTTGAATGGTTTCTGTTTACTCACATTCAATTTCCTTAACACTTTTTCTGCAATGATCTATCTGCTTTAACTCTCATCCATAGTGTCTGTTGGTTCATATCATGGATTTTTAAGTCTAGAGTTTCTTTTTATAATGTTTTCATGTCTCTATTCATATTCCCTACCTTTTTTCCTTTTTATAACATTGGTTTCCTGTATGTCCCTTAACTTATTTGATATAAGTGCTTACAACCCCTTGTTTGATAATTCCAACATTTTGGCCTTGTATGAGTCTGTTTTTATTAACCTTTTATCTCCTTTGGTTCAGGTTCCTGTCTCTTCACATGTATCATGTACATGTACAAAGTTCCCATCATAAAAATGATTATTATGTGTATATAAATTTTACCATTAAACTTAATTGAATTGTTAAAAGCAAAAATCCTTGTATAGGGAGATGATTTCATTTTTAATAACCATCTAAGATTGGAATTTCCTTTTTTACTTTAAAGAGAAAAAATAAGAATAAGAATAAAACAGAGTTTAAAAACAGGTTAGTAAGAGAGTTATCAGAATTAATACATTGCGTATTGTTATCTTCATAATAGTTTTTCACTAGTACAAGGTTCATGCTATCTTGCCCAAACAGTATTAGTATGAATCTTCTTTTTCAATGACCCAAGAGAAACTAGTCATATAACTGTCTTAACTATCTTGTGTATAAATATATCTTTCCCTTTCTTTTTCCCCTTTCACTATCACAGTTTGTCTTTTCTTCTGAATAGTTATTTCTCAATTCACAATATCTATTGTACATTTTGAATTCTATGTTCTCATTTAGTTTCTCACAGTAGCAAAACCATATGATGGTTATACATATGGGCCTGATTTATTTCACTTAGGAGAATGGTATCAAGTTGTATCCATTTACTATAAAAGTCTCAGTGACTGAGGAGTACTCCATTATATATAAAAATCACATCTTTTTTATCCTTTTCTCAGTTAATGAGAATTTGGATTATTTCCCAGATTTAGCTACTACAAATTGTGCTACTCAAAACATGGGTGCACATATGTCACTGTGGCATGATGATTGCAATTCTGGAAAGATACCCATAAGAGGAATACCTGGGTCAAAAGGGACCTCCTACCCTAATTTTTGGAGGAATCTCCACATTGATTTCACAGTGGCTACACCAGCCTAAACTCCCACTAACAGTGGAGAAGTGTTTCTTTTTCCCCACAGCCCTGTCAGCATTTGTTATTGGTTGAATTTTTGATGATAGTCCTTCTTTCTAGAGTGACATGGAATCTCAGTGTTGTTTTAATTTGCATCTCTTGAATGACCAATGTTGGTGAACACTTTTTCATGTATTCATTTGCCATTTGTTTTTCTTCACCTGAGAAGTTCATGATCATCTCAGATGCACATTTTGGACTGTGTCTTTTAATTTGGGGAAGTCTGATTTTTTTTCAATTCTTTATATGTTCTAGATACAAATACTTTATTGGAGGGAAACCCGAGTGTTAATTTTTTTTCACTCTGTGGGTTGTCTTTTCACTGTGCTGGTGATTTCTTTTGTTGTGTACAACATTTTCAAAAAGTGAGATCCATTTGTTGATTCTGGGTAGTATTTCCTTTACAGTCTAGGTTTTTGTTCATGAATTTTCTGCCTACACATATGTCTTTGAGAATTCTATCTTCTCTTCTAATAAATCATTTCTAATTTAATATTTAGATTTTTATTCATTTTGAATCAATTGTATGGTGCATGGTGATAGACATGGGCCTTGTTTTATTCTTTGGCATATGGAAAGCCAGTTTTTGCAGCATCACATGTGAATCACATTTTTTTTTTCTCCAATGAACATGTTTGACCCCTCCGTCAAAATAAGGTGAGTGACTGTGTTTGTAGATGTGTCTGCATATTCTAATCTGCTCCACTGAGATTAAGGCCTGTTTTCTTTGTTTGTTTGTTTTTTCTAGTACCATGCTGATTTTATTACAGTAGCTTTGTAGTAGAATGTTAAGTATGGTATTGTGATGCCTCCTGTCTTGTCTTTGTTGCCCAGAATTTCTTTTGCTAGGTCTCTTCTGGTTCCAACGCTTGTCCAAAGTTAGCAATGTTTTTCTCTAGATGTGTGAGGTGTGCTAATGATATCTTGACTGGGATTACATCTCATCTGTATAGCAGTTTTCGGATTACGACTATTTTAACTATGCTGTTGGTTCTTCCTATCCAAGAGCAAAAGACATGTTTTGATATCCTCGTCATTCTGGGAGTGGAATTTCTGTCCCTTAGCTAAGGTCATTTAATAAGAAACTGCTAAGAGATATCCCAATGGGGCATGAAAATTTGTACCCTTAGCTCAGCGGCATAAGCACCTGCCTTGAAAGCAGGCAGTCGTGAGATCGATCGCCAGTACTGATAAAAACGAAAAAGACAAAAAAAAAAAAAAAAGTCCATTTGCAACACGAATATGTGGGTGTTTATGACAATCTCAAAGCACTTAGTTTTTCATTGTTAAATTTCCCTGTATAATACATGTTATCATAGGGAATTTGTAATGTGCCTAATGGATCCTGAGCCCTCTTTCTCCCCACCCTCCCCTCCCTTCAAGCCCTCTTCTCTTCCTTTTTACATTGTTTCCATTTTACACTTTTTTCTTTTGCCTTTCTTCCTTCCCCCTCCCCCTCCCTTTCTCCACTTTTCTTTTGAATAATTCTTATTTCACAATATCTATTATGTAATTTACTTCTTATTTACACTTTCAGGTTCTCATATCTGTGAGACTATGCATTATTCACACTTCTGTCCAATTTACATCACTTAAGAGTGTGGTCTCGAGTTGCGTCCATTTACCTCCAGAAGTCTCCAGTTTACCTTTCTTTATGACCAAGTAGTACTCCACTGTATTAAAAATGTGTCTCTGTTATCCATCTGTTGGTTGATGGGCATTTGGCATTCGGGTTATTTCCAAGATATAGCTACTAAGAACTGTTACTAGAAATGTGGGTGCACATGTACTGCTGTGGTGTGATGCTTTTAATTCTTTTGGAAGAATGTCAAGAAGGAGAATAATAGAGGGAATCTCTACTTTCAGTTTTTTAAGGCATCTCTACACTGATATTCACGTTGGTTGCACCTACATTACCATCAACAGCAGAGGAAGTTTCCTTTTTCCACACCCCACCAGCATTTGTTATTGGTTGATTTCTTGACAATAGCCATTCTTTTTGGACTAAGATGGAATTCCAGTGTTATAGTCTGATCATTCATGCAGCTAATTTTATTTTATTTAGTTCAGAGACCACCCTATGGTACTACCACACTAGTGAATTTATGGATATCCATTTTTAACTGTTTGTATAGAGAAAAGCTATCCTCTATCACTCAGAGCCCAAGTCTGGGGCAGGTCTTGCTAGAGCAGCGAGGGCAGGTTTGTGCACAGGCTGCAGCTGTCTGGGGAGCACTGTGCTCCTGCTGCACAGAAGTAGGTGGCTGAGTCTCCTAGCTGAGAAGTCCTGATATGCAAAGAGAGCTCTTGGTCATTTTTCTTGAGCAGTACTTTGAATCTTCCGTCTTCATTTTCATTCACAACTGATCGAATGGCTATCAGAAGTTCAAGACCTTTACCCCTAGGGAGGTGCCTGTACCATGCAAAATAGTTAAATGCACTGTTCTCATATGTGCAGTTCAGAATTGAAGTCTCTCCTTCCTGGACTGTTAAATACAGAGGATTTTGCTTCACCTGTTGCTGGTCACCTTTATCCTTCTGTTGGCCACTCACCCCTGCTTAGGAAAATTAAAAAAAAAAAAAAGTCATTAGGCCCTAAAATTGTATTTCCCTTTTAAAGTTTCTCCCTGTGTGTTGTTTTCTGTTCTCCAATGTTCTCATTCCCTCATTTAACACCATACCCCGGAGTTTCTCCTCTACACTCACATGCCCTCTGAAGGCCGAGAATCAGAATTGATGCTCCCAGAATCCTGTCCATTCCTGCTGCAGCCAGGGCTCAGTGCCAACCCCGTGGTCTGTGGTCTCCCAGGTGGCTGGAGCTCTGCCTGACTCACACCCACTTTAGTTCTGTCAGCAGGCTCCACCCCTGCAGGGGTTTTCACTTAGTCCCTGTCACAGGAAGCACTTTCCAACTAGGGCCAGGTTTTGTCTTTTGAAAGGAGAAATCCACTCTATAGAGATGGAGTATTCATTTAAAATTGTTGTCTGTTGATCTCTTTCTACATTTTCAGGTTCCTAGAATATTAAATCTCATATGTGGTAACAGCTATGTCAATAAAAATCATCTCATTATACAAAAATGAAAGAGAAGGAATCCCAGGAAGCAAAAGATGAACACATATAAGGCATTTAACTTTTCATATAAATCTTAAAGTTTCTGACATCACACAATTGACAAAATATTACATTAAAATCTAAAGTCGTGGAATATACATGCTTTGTCTTTTTTTGCACTCAGAGAACTTCAATTTTTAAGCATCTTTTAGATGTGCTTTTATTTCATGATTAGGAAATGATAGAAAACAATTAAGTCAAAGCAAGTTTCTTTGCAGTTTTTATAAAATGCAAAGAAATTCTAAATTTCTTTTATGTAAATTAAATATTTCAAAGAATATCTGATGAAAATAATTAGAATGTTCTGAAACAGTCTATGGTAGAGAAGCTCTGACCTTCTAATAATAAGAAGAGAACATTTTGCTGACTTCAGAAGATATGAGGACTTGGCTGTTCAGAAGTAAAGCATTTTTGGTCTCTGATTCTGAGTTTGAATAGGCATTCAATATTTTCTTTATTCTCAGGGATGTAAATGAAAACACAAAGAATTAATTTGCTAGGGGTTGGGGATTTAGCTCGGCAGCTTAACTCCTGCCTTGCAAGTGCATGATCGTGAGTTTGATCCCCGGTACCAATAAAAAAAAAAAGAATTAATTTGCTATAGTTGTTTACTCCATTAGGAAGTAGTGACAAAAATTGATAAATTCTAAAGTCAACCCAAAGAGGAGGAAAGGCATCGGTTATAAATAATAGAAGTTAAAAGGACAAAGTGCAGGTTGTTTTCATGAAGAGCACAATAGATTTTTGTTTGTGTATTATAGATCATCTCAGCTCCAGTCAGTGAAAACCATCATCATAATCCAGTAGGAGAAAATGGTGCAGATCCCTCAGTCTGTCCAGTCCCATTCTGTGGCTGTGTCAGATAGAAAGTGTTTTAATTGCTTAAGGTTTTTCTGTGTTTATCGTGTCCTCTCTTATCTGTGGTTATTACATTCCAAGACCTCAAATAAATGTCTAAGCCACAAATAGCATCAAACCATAGGGAAGATCCAGACCCTTTGTAGAGAACAGAAAAAACTCCCTCTGTATGGCTGTGACAGCAAAAGATTTTCTAGCAGCTTCACACCATGGTTTGAGGGCTATGGTTTGATGGCTGCCTCCAGGCCAATAGCACTGTCCACCCTACTGCACTTTGCCATCCTCACCCAATTCCCCCATCAGCCCACAAGTTTAAACCCCTAGCAACAAGCCCAATGTCCAGTCAATCAAGTGTTGCCCCTCCCAGGGGTGGAGACTTACTCCTACCCCATCAAATAGGACACCCCAGATTCTAAGTACCCCACTCTTTCACTCTTCACTGAAATGGCTGTCACTGCCTGGGTCTAGTGAATCTGGAAACTCCTAGAACCCACACCCACTGGAGGTAACAAAACCCAGTGGATTATGCTTTTCCTATATTTTTCCTATACCATTATTGCCTATACATTTTTCCTATACTAAAATTTTCATTTTTTTTCACCTAAAGGAAGCGATTCATGATCTCTTTACCAGATCCACATTACCGGCACCTTTTCTTTTGTACTTTGGGAGGTTTGTTAAGTAAAATTAGCGTTACTTAAATACAAACAGTGAGGATAGACACTTTTATAATGAGATGTCTATGAAGTGACCAATGATCACATAGCATGTCCACCCTGTACAAAATGACGATTCACGTCCAAGGGCAGGTAGAGAAGGACAGCAAGAGATTCTACCATGCTGCTGGAAAAATGTGTAACTTTAAAAACTCGTGAATTATTTACTAATGAATTTTCCACTTACTATTTTCAGATCACAACTTGCTCAATACCTAGAAAGAGATCCTGAGGCTAAATAGGGACTGGTGTATCCATACTGTGTTTCCACCAAACACCTGCCAAACGGCCAGTATCTGGTTCTCACTGTGACAGGTGAGTCCCAGTCTATCAGAAAAACCCAGCACTCAGGGACAGCAAGGTGAAATCTATGAGAGAGTTCAGTGCTTAGAATAGGTCACCAAGACAGAGATGATCTCTGTTTCTGGACCATGTCACTGAAAACTTTGGTCAGAAAATATGCTTAAACTCTGCCTAAAACTATGAACGGATTTCCCAGGAAAAAGCATGTAGAAGAAAATTCTAGTTCAGTTTAATCAGCATGGCTCCAGATTCAGCCATACATGCTTGAGGTCATTTTGTGCTCAGAAATGTTAATGTAGCCCTGACCTTGAAAAATATCCTGTGTCTTCAGAGAACTTTTGCCTTATAAAGTCGGATTTTTCAACCCTCTGATCATAGACATTATTTAGGTGGGTGAGTGGATACACACATGAACTCACATTTGATATAAAAAATATGCTGAAACAGAGGAGTAGAGAATAATTTTATACTTTTTAAAGAGCTCATGTCTGGCTGAGTGTGTGTAGACCTTACTCTGATCTGAGTCAGCACTGCCCCTCTGTGGCTATGCAGGGAGATCACAGACGCCTGTGAACAATCCCCTGTGACTTCACTTTTATTAATGGATCTGATTGTAGTTTTTCAATTTTGTATTGTTTCCATTTGCAACACATAATAAATAACTTAATTGTGGAGTGTGTGTGTATGTACACACATCACATTTGATCTATTTTGCTTCTTCGTGACTTCCATGTTTGGACCCCCTTTCGATCTCCACAAAGTCTGTCTGGCCATGTCCTCTCATTTATCTTTGATTTTGCTCTCTGAATTATTTACAGGTTGGGTTTCTCCTATAAGAGAAACCATGTGACATATAACCTGTGTCTTGTTCATTTCACTTAGCATTATGGATTCAAGGTGCCTCAATTTTCCTATGAATGACTCAAATTTACACTTTAAGTCTGCATAGCACTCGCTGCACACCCATGGCTGAGCAGTATTCTGCTGTGATAAATGTGTGAAATATGTATATTCTTTATTCATTCACACAATGATTGGTACAGAGACTTCTTCTGTTCACCAAGCCCTGCTCGCTGAGCTGAGTGATGGCTGCTTCTTCTTCTGGACCAGGAATTACTGTAGAGGAGAGAAGATTGCCCTGTTGGGTCTGTTAGAAATATCTGCCACCCTCAACTGAGGCGTTTCCCAGTGACATCTGGAGGAGTCGGTTAGGGTGTCAGCTAGGCCAGGAAAAAGCAGGGTTACTGGGATATGAAACGTGCGTCTCACACGCCCTGTGGGCCCTTACTTCAGAGGCACGCACTGGGCCTTGGGCTGAGTTACTGCCTGACTCCCCTGGCCCGACCTCCTTTACCCATGTCAAGTTGCGGCGAAACCTCCATGCTGAAGTGCATGCGCCCTTACACAGCCTCTAATTTAGATAGCTAGGACCCTGGAGAGCCATCTTTGTTTTTCAGTCAGTTTTTTTTTTGTTGTTGTTTGTTTGTTTGTTTGTTTTTACTTTTGTACATGATGGTTATGCAGTGATAACTTTTTGTTGGTTTTACTTGCACTTTTCCAATGAATGTGATGCAAAACATGTATCAGCAAATGTCCAGAGAGGGTTGGGTAGTAAATAACAAATTCGGAGCTTGGACGGTCATTCATTCTCTATTAAAATTTCTCATTTCTGCCACTGAATCAAGTGACACATCCTTGATTAGCAAATGGCACTGCTTTAATTGAAACTCATTAAAACAGGCATATGACTGCATCCACCTCATAGGCTGTGTTTTGTTGAACCCTGAGGAAGAGCATCTTTTCATGTTCATATATTTTCTTGTTGAAAACTATGCTCAAATGTATTGTACATTTTAATATGCAATGTTTTATTGAATTTTAAGAGCTTACATATGTGTTTATTCACATATATATGCTTTATACATTATTAAATATTTCTAAGGCCTCTGTCCCAAAAAGCACAAAATATTGCCTATAGACATTAAAGAAAGTTTAGTAAATGGAAACATGTATTATGGTCATGAATGAAAAGATTCAATAACTTTAAACCTCCCAAATTCTTCCATAAATTCAATGAGCTATCAAATAAATTCTAATTCTTCATATGAATTCAAGAAACAACTCTCTAATTATTTGGAAAGTAAAAGATGTTCAAATAATCCAAACTGAGCAACATTGGAGAATTCAACCTACAAACTTATTGTAAAGCACAGGACTCCACAGAGTTTAATACTGGTGAAAACCAGACATGTAAGTTAAGTAGGTATGGTATCAAAGTAGAAAAATGAGTAATAAAAAATATGTTCAGTTGTACATCCATGTTCAATTAATTTCAAGAAAATATGCAAGACAGCGCAGTGGGGGAAATGAAAGTGTTCTCACGAAGCGGTGCGGACACCTGGGGAGTCTATGGGCAGAGCCACATGAGGCTGACCCTGGTTACTGTCAGTGAGGGCTCCATTGCTTTGCAACCCGAGAGTAATAAATAAACAAAGACTTCTGAGAAAGAGTCATTTTTGATCCTACCAAAATCTCATTAATAGGTTCACTTTGAAAGTTTCATACACGCACATATAATCGTCTAATTCCTCCTTCACCCGCTGCCCCTCTCCTCACAAGCTTTACATTTTGGGGAGTTCTAACATATATTATGTGTTGTGCTCGGATCCGTACACCTGATTACTGGCCCTCACACCCTTTCCTATTCTTTCCTTTCTCTTGACTAATGAAAATAAACTATTTTCCACTTTCTTGTGATTTTTTAACATTCTACATATTAGAATATTTGACACTCTTCTTTCGGTATCCACATTATTTCATGCACAATTATGGTCTCTAGTCACTCATTTTTCTAAAAATGACAGAATTTCATTTTTCCTTTTGTTTTTCACCTGCTGGTGGGGACTTATGCAGCTCTATATCCTGACCACTGTGAGCTGGGCTGCACTCCGCCTGGGTGTGCACACATCCTTACACTCCACTGACTTACTTCACTCAGGTGTGTGCCGGGGAGCAGTACTGCTGGGCCCAGGGGAGCCCTATTTTTATTGCTCTGAGGAACTTCCGTAGTGATTTCCACGGTGGCTCTATTAATTTGCATTCTCAGCAGGAACTGTGCATCTTCACCAGCATTTATTACCATTTGTATTCTTGATGAGATACATGCTGGCTGCAACGAGGTGGAATCTCCTTACTTTCAATTTGCTTTTCTTAATTAGTCAAAGATGTTGAACATTTTTTTTTTGTTCTCCTGTTGGCCATTTGCACTTCTGCCTTTGAGAGATATCTGTTGAATTATTTTTCTCATTTATTTATGGAGCTATTTGTGATGTTACACTCCTGAGTCTTTATATGTTCTAGATATAGACCCTGCATTGGAAGAATAGCTCCTAACGACTTTCCTCCACTCTGTAGGTGGTGTCTTCACTCTGTTGGTTTCCTTGCCTTGCAGAAATTTTAAAATGTGGTTTAACCTGTATATAGTATTTGTTGATTCTTATTATTTTCAGTGCTATTAGTATCTTATCCAGGAAGTCACTGTCAGTGTCTTTGGCTTAAGTGTTCTCCTGTTTTCTGTTAACTCTTTCAAAGTTTGAGACCTAGATGCTCAGGTCTGTGACCTTTGAACAGCTGAGATACAGAGTTTCAGTCTTCTACAAGTGGATATCCAGTTCCCAGCAGGGCTTGTTTAATAGTGTGTATTTTGGCTGGCTGTGTGGAAACAGAAGGCTGAAGCTACTCTGTAGAAGACAACAAAGTGGGTAACAGTAGCAGAACTGAATGAAATTTTGTTCATAAAATAATCTATACATAGAGGTTTAGCATAGGTGTTTATTGGACAGTAGAATATAGGGGATTTTATTCTCAATAATGAACATGTGTCATTAGGCAAATAAAAATCCAGTGCTCTTTTTAAAAATATAACTACATATGCTTCCAACGTTTCCTCACTAACTCTTGTTTCCCACCATTTTCCCACCAAAGTTTTTCTTCATATAACCTCTGTTTTTAAAATTATATATAATATGTATAAAATATAGATAAATACTTAATTCTATGTTATGCTTTTGATGCCTTTATATACATAAATGTATATATAATTACTTCTTTCTATGTTATCCTTTTAATGGCTTTTATATGGTTTACATTGTACCTACAATATAATACTTTATGTTCTATCTAGTATTATTTGGCTACATCAAAAAAAAAAAAAAAAGAATGAAACTGCATCGGTTCTCTTCTGTCTCCCCTTTATGTTTTATCTGTCAGTTGTCTTCTACACTCAGATTCTGAAATCCTCATTAGACAATATTATACCCAATTTCAATACTTGTATGCATTTTAAATAAGTCAAGTAAGTAAATAAATATGTCAAGTCCAGACCTTTAAAAGCTGTTTTAAAAGATAGCAGGTTAAATGTCCTACAACAGTAGCACCAAAAACAAATCGAAATGAAAACGAAGCAAAGAAACAGGAAATGCAGAGAGGTGGTAGATATTGTCCATTTTGCTGTTTGTGCTGGTGGTTACAAGGGTGAATGTAAATTCCAAGATCATGAACTTGAATCTATCAAATATGAGTGGTTTTTGTACAACAATTCTACCTCAATAATGCTTTTTTTTTTAAAAAAATTAAACTCTCATATTTTATATTTATTATTTATGTTGTTCTTCCATTATTCTTGTACTTTTTTGGGGAACCAGGTACCAAACTCAGGACCTTTTGCTCACCAGGGAGGCGCTTATGCCACTGAGCTACTCCCCAGGCCTTCTTCTTTTGTTCTAGAGGTTGTAGTATTTCCTCTGGTATCTTTTCTTTTAGTTTAAAACAACTTCCTCTTTATTCCTTTTAGAACAAGTCTGCTCAAAATGAATTTTATCAATTTTCCTTAATTTGAAAATTTCTTGATTTTTATCACAATTATTATAGAATATTTTTCCTACTTACAGAACTCATGGTGGATGGTTGATTGCTTCTGTGAGCTGTGAGCTGTTTAAAAGTGCAATGGGAGGAGACCATGGCTCCCTGGCTGTTGCACGGACTTTGGTTTTATTCTGAGGGCAACAGGAAGACAGTGCAGGAGTTTTATGCCTGAGTGACCTCACTGGTATTTCAAAGCTGCTATAATAAGAATGGAGAACTTGGCAACAAGCACAGGGATCATTTAGAAGGATGCAGAGTTAGACCCAGAAGGAGAAGTAGCTAGATCATGGGTTCACTTGTGAGGTGAGGACTACTGGATAACAGGATGAATTAAGACATTAGCAGTAAGGGGAAACTGAGTCAGAAATAAATTTGAGAATCAATAGCTAAAAATCCTGAATGGAGTCACTATCAACTGAAAAGCAAACGGTAGTAGAAAAGCACTATCGATGGCAGTGGGAACAGACGAGGAGGTCAGTAGCTGTTACACAGAACCAGTACACTGACCTAGAGTTCAGGGTCATTACCCACAAAGAACACCCGTGTGAGCTTCTCTGTCCTGCATCTTGTCTGACATGACTCAGTAGTGAGAGAGGGAACTTAACAGATACTCCATTTCTTTGCAGGTGTTTAACATTTCCGTGTCTCTGCTGCTCCCCTGCTCACTTTCATCACATCAGAGAGCTTGCTAAAAACAGGTCAGGTCTTGCCCGCACCTCACAGAAAGTCCTGTGTTTCTAGAAGTTTGTGTTCGGCTCCCCCTGCAGTCTCAGGCACTGTGTCACTCACAGCACAGAAGTACATGGCTGCGTCGCTCCCCTGGACTGAGGATTTCTGCAGGTGAAAGGAGGCTTCATTCTTCTTAAATTCAGCCTTGAAACCTCTGTTGCCTGTAACCACAGATGATCCTCCTAAATATTTGAGGAGGAGCTGGAGGCCTTGGCCAGGTCGCTGGAAGTACCAGAAGAGGTAAGGTGCTCCACCATAGGTATAGTTGCACTTCAGCAGCAGAGCGTGTCCTTCAGGGACAGTGACATGGCGGTCAGGCTGGGCCACTGACTGGGCTCCGCTTCCTCCTGCAACATCAAATCTGCATCAGCAAGGCCAGGACAGAACCACCACAATGACACAGTGTCCCTCTCCGGTTTCATTCCTCTGGGAAGTCAGGACCAGGGAACACAGCATACTTACTCAAGGTGAGAGGCATTCCAAGCAGGAGGAGGGTCACTGAGAGCATGGCTGGTCAGCAGGAGGCCCAGAGTGCTAGGCTGGGAGAGTCCCTCAGAAGGAATGGAGTGTCTCTAATGGGAATCTCACATCCCAGAGTTCCTTGTTTAGGCACAACTGAGAGACTAATGCTAAGAGATGCTGTCTTAACGATGACAGCACTTACTCTGTCACCAGTACTCTGGTGACTGTCTTGCTCAGAGTGTGCACTCAGTGTGCCAGAAGGCAAAAAGAAGCCCCTAAGAGGGAACAGACCACAAAAAAAAAAAAAAAAAAAAAAAAAAAAAAAAAAAAAAAAAAAAAAAAAAAAAGAGTGAGCAGACATTTCCATGCGGGCAAACACTGCCCCTGGTGGTAGAATACAGAAACAGGGTGAGCCTCAAGGTTTTTGTGCTAGATTTTCTTAGTTCAGTTTGGTGAAAATGTTTTTTCAAGGATCTGCTTTTTGACAGGATATTTTGATATCATGAACAAAATAACATCATTAAGTCACGTGAAGTAAATAATATTATTATTCTCACTTAAAAATAAGAAAACTGAAGGATGAAAGAAATAACGCAATTGGTCCAGTATCACGTGAGAAAACTAGACTTAGTCCCACTAATACGGGCTGACCATTACAAGTTTTTCACTGTTGGCTTTTAGAATACACATTTTCTTTACTTAATGTGTGGAAACCCAACTAACTATTCATAGAGATAATATGCCCAAGGACACAGAATTTTCAGGACCTAGGGCTATTATAAAAGAGAAGGTGAAAGCTGACCAAGACACACGCTCAGAGCAAATTCAAAAGAGAGTAGGGAATGAAGACACTCTTTACAAGACCGAACACTGCAGGAATAGGAAGTGGAGGAACCACTAAAGGAATCTCAGCATAGTCTGAGAGTGAAATAGCAATTCTGAAGTAGATTAGACTCTGAAAAAGGAGTTTTAAGAAGCAATGGATGATCACAGAGCAAAAACTAAAGAAAGTGTAAGAGAAAAGTTGTTTTTCAATGTCTGTTGATCTTTTAAAAACACAAAGATGAAGGTTGGTCTTCAGCAGAAGATAAATTGTACTTGAATGAGGCAAAAGGATGAGACAAAACAAAAATTTGCAATATATTTGGATTATATAAATGTAAAGAAAAATATATGGTGTCAACTAGATGAGATTGTTAACACTTGGGTAATGTTTACACGATTTTGGAAAAAAACATGTATCAGCATTCAGAGAGGATAAATAGAATTGAAATATGACCACAGATCAGAAGATCAAGTTTTGGCAAGAAAAACAGATATTTCTGGTTTTATTGAAATAAAGGAGGAAAGAAACTATATTTAAGTAATTCTCTGGTATATGAAGGAAGAAGTTTGACTCACCTATTATTCTCTAATGAAATTTATTATTTCTTATAAAAAGAAATTAAGTGTTTACCAAACAGTTGAATGGAGGTTACTCTGGGCTAGGGATTTTGAGTTGTGGGGGAAATTTTGAAATAGCCCCTGTAAGAAACAGCAAAGACAAATAATAAAGAGAGAACAATTCCTTGCCTGGCACCACTATAAATCAAGTTAATGTTGCAGCAACAAATTTCAGCAACACCAGCCTACATCCCTCTGTCATTATTTTGAACCCTCTGCATCAGAAAAAGTGTGCATCATAAGGATGATATTTATGAATGACTGGGGATTAGTACAATCATCACTATGGTGCAGAGTTGGAATGGGAATCACTTAGCATTAGGGAGTGACAAAGCATTTCAAGTGAAAACCTATAGAATGAAATTATTGGTAAGATCATATAAGAAGTCCTTGGACAATAAGGTAATAAAAAGGGGGGGGGGACTAGGATGTAGCAGCAGCTAGATCATGAGTGAACTTGTGAAGCAGGGACTCCTGGTTGTCTCGATGAATTAGATGTGATGACATATACGTGATAATATATCCTCAAAAAGAAAATGCAATGTAAGGAGCTGTGTGTGATAACATAAGCATGGGTGAATTTAGACTTGGTGGAAGATTTTAGCTGGAGCAGCATCTGATTGGAGAACTATTACAAGGTCTTTCTGGATTGTGGAATTGGAAGTCAATGGCTTGGGGATTTAAATTAATGGTGTTTAAAAAATTTGACTTTTTTCTAAATGTCTCAGGTCAACATTTAAATAGCATAGTATTCAGTTTACAGTGGAAACTCCTAAACTTTGTTAAACCCTTCAATGTTATGAATTGTCTTGACTGGGAAGATAATTACAAAAGAGTAGGGGAAGATGAGGTGAAAATCTCAAAATTGCAAAGATAAGGCCTGGGTTTTAGTGGTAAAATGTATAAGTATGCTACCTGTAAGTCTTTGGGTATTTTAGCTGTGGTAGAACAAGGAACACAATGGAAAGATAATTATTCTGCACAGAGAATTGCATTTCGATTGAGACACATGGAAAGAAATCTAACAAACACTATGAAATACAGCTTTTTTCAGTGCTGGAGATCAAACCCAGGGCCTCTTGCATGCTAGAAAAGCACCATGTACCACTGAAATAGGCACCTATATTTTGCTTGTGGTAAAATGGAAATCTGAAAGCCAGGTCAGTATTGAAAACAGAAGAACTATCAGGTCCCCTGGTGAATGATTACTCTTACAAAAGTCATCCCTGTAGGACTACAGGTGCTTCCCCAGGTCTAGGTGGGGAGAAGCTTGTTTGCAGTATAGCTATTCGTGCTGTTTTTCATGTGGATGGTGTAAATACCAAGTTTCAGGCTTTTCAGAAAGGCACAGCTCTCCTCCAGGAAACACTAAACAGGTCTTCAAAATTTTCTATTTGCAGATAGGAGCACTGAAGGAGAAATGCGCAATCACACTGAAATCCTGACAGAGAGCACGCTGAGAAAACCCGCTCTGGCTCTGAGACACTGCTGCACTCACTGCCTGAGACAGCGCCTGCCTGCAGCAGAGGCTTTGGGATGCTCACTCAGGCTGAGCACGGATCTTCTCTCTTTCTTTACTATCTGTTCATAATTTAGTGCTGATGCCTCCACTCTTTCCTGCACAGCCACTCTCTCATCTTCCTTTCCTTTCTTTTCTAATATGAGCTCCAATGTCAGGTGCTCTAATGTTGTTCTTGTAAGTGTCACTAATCCACACACTGCTCTTTCTCTCTTACATTTTTCCAGCTTGCAAAATCTGAAAGCTCAGTATTATTCTCACCCACTATTATGCCAATCTAGAAACATGGCCTTGACGGTGAGGTTATGTCACTAATTTCCAAGTACTTTTAACAAATCATATTGATATAATTTGCCTCAATACTAGGGAGCCCTTTATCATTTAGAACTATAACAAACTTTTTTCCTCAAATGGTGAACTCTTTTCTTTCATATTAAGATAATCTTGATTTCGTTTAGTGGGTAATTTCTTTAATAAAAATATGCATGTTCTTCAGATTTCTACAAATTTCAATTATCATGTATCCTGTCCTGATTAATAAAGTATAAGTATCATGAGCTACTATTATTACTTTCTATTCAGTATATTATCAGCTTTCCTAATAATATAAAATGCCCATGATTAACATATGTTGTACCATATAACAAGGGTCAAAATCCTTTTTCGTATATGAGATAAAGGACAACAGAGATTGTCATATTGCTCATCAATGGTGCTTTAATAGAGGTCCCACACTTAATCACTGTATGAACTTGTGATTTTTAAGACATGCATTCTTTCTTACATAGCTCCAAAACAAGAAAGGAAAACTACTAGAAAACACCTAAAATTTACTTTTAGCTCACATATTACTTTTTAATTAGTATGAAACCACTGTATCATTTTATAGCTTTTACTGAAGTATAATATACATATAGAAATATAAATATATAAGTATATGGATTGGTAAGTGGTCACAAAGTGAGTATAGCCTTGTATTCAGCCTGCAGATCAGGAAATAGGACACTGCTAGCACTTTAGAGCCCCTCTAAGAGCTCTTTCAGGTGTCCTGTACCTTGGACAACATTGTTCTGACTTTTAGGGATATAGATTACCTGTGTCTATGTTTTACAGAAATGAGGTCTTTATTCAGCAAGGTATGTATCTTCTCAAGCCATTTACCTTCCTAATAGTTTACTTGTTTGCTCACTGGTTTTAAGGAGGTCTCCTTTTTAAAAATCAAAACAGGCCCTTTGTCAATGGTATAGGATGCAAATATCTTCACCTTACCAACTAGCTTTGTAAGTCGATAAACTCGATTCTTTTTCCAATTTTAATGTATTTCAATTTTGTATTTGGTATCCTGATTAAGAAGTAATAAAAAGTAAAGGAAATTGTACCTTCTCCTAACAGATTTGTATCTTATCCTTATGTTCATAAACCTCCTCTAACTAAACTGCTACTTGCATATGGTGTCAGCTGGAGGCCAATATACATATTTTCCATATGAAAATGTATTGAATTCTGCTGACTAAACATTCCATCATTTAGCCTTAGTTTGGATGTGTTCCGATTTAGATTTTAATCTACTTTGACATTAGTCTTCATCACAATGTGTTTAACTGTGATCTCTAGCATTGTCTTACTATACTAGCTTTCATTTAAGTCTCTGATCTATTCTCTTTATGTTTTATAGCTACTACTTATTTCACTTCATTGATGACAGACAGATTTCTAAATTCTTTTTCTAGACAGTAAAGCAAGTGATTTTCAGAAGTTTTCCTTTTTGGTGTCCAGAATGTGTTCTTTCCCGTCTTACTTGTATGCTTTGTTTCTCACAAAATCGTGCGTACTTCTAGTGGCGGGTTGATGTAGTCAAGGATTGCAAGAGAATAAGACAATAGGAGGACACATAATTTACAAAACTATTTCATGGACTATCAATAGTTAAATACTAGAAGTGTAGGAAATCTGTCTACAATATTAAGACCAATGTATCGAGCTAGGTTTCTGGATTCCACAGCAATGTTCTATACATATTCAGCTGAAGACCTAGAGACCATGACAATGTTCCCCACGAATCCAACTGGAAGCTTAGAGCCCAGGACAATGTCTCATGCAAGTCTGTTTCACAGATCTGTGCTAGGGAAGGCCTGAAGTTCAATGGTGGAAGCTAGAAAGTCTGGGCCAGTAGGTTGAGGGTTCTGCACCAGAGCCAGGAAGCAACACTCATGGTAAGAAGCAGGGCTCCTCAGAAAAGTACCATAGCCATCCTCATAGACAACGAGGTCCTGAGATCCTCTGATGATCAGAACAGTTGGGTTCATATTACGAAACCAGCATGACAAGCTTTTCCTGGAGACTGAACAGGACATCATTTTCTCCTCCAGAGCCAGGAAGCACTAAAGATCAGAGTTCCTTCAAAATGAACCACAGCCTTTCTCAGTGACAATGAGGTCCAGAGCACCTCTGATGATGAGAACAGCCAAGCACATATCAGGAAAAAAGCTGGACAAGCTCTTCCAGGAGAACCCACAGCAACAGGAAAACCAACAACACCATGGAGAACCAACAATACTTAACTCTTCCTCTCCAGTTCTCCTCTTTATTTGTCAACAGCCCCAGATGGGCCATCCATGCTCAGCACCACGCTGATTCAGTTCAGCTGGTGTTACAAGTTGGCCACCAGTTATCAATCCATCAAACAAGTTAAAAATCCTCAATGTATCATCTGGTTTGTAAAATTTTGAGGGAAGAATTTGAGTATCTACTTTGGAGTGGCCTTTCAAATATGCTTAACAGAGTTCTTAAAATATTAAAATCCTCACTATGTACATTTACCCAGGTTATTGTAAGTGGGGAGATAATGCAAAAAGAAAAACTCGCCATTGTTTTTCTGCATTCTCAATTCTTATTTTTTGTGTCATTATGCTGCTTAATCAGTGCAAAAACAGCTTTACTCACGGGAAGCCCTAATGGTGGAAAGAGTGGTAGGACTGATCACATCTGTAAGAACCAATATTCAACTATGCAATTTATGAAGATAAATTTGGAACAATATTTTAAAGCAGAAAATGTTTAGTGAAAGGTCAGGTTTTTTTTAATGGTAAAGGATTATTTCTGAACAGAAACACAGGTATGAAAAAAAACAATAAGATAAGGAAAGTGATTTTTGAAAATCCTGTTTAAAGCTGGATAGGCACAGACTGTTTCCTGGTGGCACAAATTGCCAAGTAGTCTTAGATGCTTTTTGAGCACTATACTAGCACTGCCTAGAAGCCCCATGAGATGAAAATAAATGTAAGTCCTATTATTCAACTATTTCATCACTGGAAAAATACCTGTCACACACAATTTAAATGAAAAGAGTTTTCAGAAGACACAGTCTGTGATTGTTGGTCTTCAAGGCACACGGCATGGTGGAGAAACACTGTTCCAACCCAGGAAGCCATGTGCAGAAAGGAAAGGGAGGAGCCATAGTCCAGAACACACTTTTCTAGTCCATGCTCTTAGTGACCCATCTGTTACCAGGCCTGATCTCCTCAGAGTATACTCAGCTACTGAGTTCATCCACTGACAAACTAACATGCATGTAGCATCCTGATGATCTAATTACCTTCCAAATATGAAAATTTGGGGAAATTTTAGGTCTGAATCATGATATTCTGCCTTTGGCCTTCAAATGGTTCATATCCATCTTATTATTTAGAAATGCATTTAGTCCCTCTGTAAGAGTTGCAAAATTCTTAACAAGTTCATCATTCCTGAAAAGTCCAAGTCCAAAGTCACCCCAGAGACTCAACCTAAAGTCATAGTTGTGAGCCCCTGAACAACAAACAAACAAAAACATTCCCATTCCCTAAGGGAGGTGATAGAATAATACAGCCAGAAATTAGAACAAAACATTATAAAATATCATAGCACAAACACTAAATCTTATTTCTGTCAGGAGCCAGGGCAGTGAGGTGAGCTGTGAGCCCCAAAGCACTTGCCAGCCCCGACTCTTGCAACTTTGCTAAGCAGCTACAGCCCGCATGGCCTGTCTGCTGAGGTGGCTTCAGCCATTCCCTCCAGTTTTCCTCAGCAGAAGTTCCATATTTTTGGTATCTAACTTTCTGTGGTCTCTGGTGTGAGAGTGCTTTCAGTTCACTCTCACAGCTCCATGCACTGCCATATCAGGGCTGCACCACCTGGCCTCTCAGGCCTTCTTCTGAAATCTTACAGAAGCCTCCTGATCTCACTATTGTTGGATTCTGCAATTTGAGAAACCTGCACCATATGGGTGATCCCAGGATCTGCTGCCAGTTGGAGCAGAAGCCTGGCCTCTTGTCCTAGGGCCCCTCATCTGCTGGCCTGGCGTTTGACTTCTAAGAAACACTTCCCAGGCAGCCCTGAATATGCCAGGCCTTTGGGGCTTTCTTCTCAAAGCAAAGCCTTTCAGCATTATTTATCTCTTTATGCTCTTGAGCCCGTGCAGCTGACACCTTCCCAGTTCCTGAAGCACCTTCAGTTCATCTTTCCTGATGTCTTGAAGCAAAACACTTCTCTTCTTTAATGCTGCTCTTTTCAGCAACCACGTTTCTCAGGTCCCGACATTTCATGCACTCTTTGTTGAAACTGCAAAAATGTTTTTTATTTTAAAGAGAATAAAATCAAGCAAAATAAAACCAATCAACACAAACCAGTGTAAGTGACAAAGAACTTCAAAACAATACGAAATCAACAATGGTTACCATAATGCCTTTTCTTGTCTTCAAAATAGCTGCATTTAGTTTCAGACGTAGTAAAAATCAAACAAACAACAACAGCAAAAAAAAAAAAAAAAAAAAAAAACCCAGAGAGGAACCAATAAAAACAAAACAACGAATGCAGTAAAGCACTTCTGAACAAGATAGTAAATTCAAAATGGCTACCATAATGTAACTTGATTTAGTTAAACTTCTAAACATCTCAAGTTTACATAAGCAATTTACCCTACTTTGCTCATTACACAATGTATTTATCAATTTAGCTATTAAACTATAGATAGCTATACATACAGATGTGGCTATGGAGATACAGATATTATGTGAATTAAAAATTTTAAAAATCTGTTATTCACGTTTTTCTGAATGGTATAAATGTAAATTTATCTCAAAAATGTCACTTTTACAGAAAAATAATTTTACAACAACTCTATAATACCTCTTAAATTTTATAACAAATGGAAATTTAGCAAATAATAAAGGTACTCTTAAAATTCTCTTAAACACTATACATGTGTGAATATTTTTCTTAAAGTAGTATACACGCTATTTTATTTAGTTTTACAAGTACTTTAATATCACTATTTTTCTTTATGTAGTATATGATATTCTATTCAGTTTTACAAGTAGTTTACTAATATTTTTCTCTTTATTATTTTAATATATTAACTAGTTCCAGGGTTATCATGCATTCATCATAATTGTTTCCAAAACAAAAATATTTCATGAAAATGATGCAAAAGTTTTACTTGTTGAGTCAGTTGTAAATGTCTTGCTTTTACTGTTGGATTCAAGGAAGTAAGATGAGAGGTCGGAAGAAAATTAAGAGGTAAATACAAGCGTTCAAAATCTCGCTGAACGCCTGTAATATGAGAACAGCAAGGTGTGCAGGTACAAGGAAATGAATGTGAGTTGTGTTTGAGAGGTAAAGTCCCAGGGTTTGGTAACCCCTGGGTATGAACTGTGCTTTATTAGCCCTCTAGTGTCTTCCTGGCACAGGGAGTGTGTGTGCTCTAATACTTGTTTCAGAAAGTGTCTAAAAGGCTCCCAGTGACACTCACAGCCTCCTGTAGTTCTCTACCAAACTTACTGTAGTCTAACTCCATGCTCACTTTAATACACAATGTGAAGCAAAACTAACGTCATGGTAATTATTTGCCTAAATATTAACATGGCCTGGGAGCTCCACTTCAACACTTTTGGAAGCCCTGAGCCACTTTGTCAGACAAGCAGCTTCCAGGAGAGAATGGCCAAGAGAGGAGAGCACATCAGGGCCTCGGGGAAGGAGTGGTGAGAAAGCAGCCCGCTGCTAAGGGGACCATTCGAGCTCAGGGGAGCTCTAGTTATGTTTTATTGAAAAGTAAACCATACACACAACTATGGATGTAGTATGTATCAGTGAGGGTCCAAATAATCCTGAATAATGCTTAAATCTATCTATATATTCCTTTAATCTTTTAGTGGCTTATTATTTTTACAGTTTGTTTAAAGAGAAACCTTTCAACAATATTTTTTCTAGCATTGAAATCTGAAAGAAGCTGCTTGGGGATCTGTGACATCACAGAAAGATGCCCTCAGAATACACTGATTCTTCTTGGAATAATTGGAATTCCCTAGACATCTCTGTAGAAGAAAACCAATAACTACATATTAGGAATTAAATTACCATGTCTCATTGAGTAAATTTCTACACGCATCCCTATTGCCATGAGGAGGAAGTGCACCGTCTCTTTGCAGACAGTGTGAGTTTAGCTTTCTCTAGTGTCGGAGCTATACTAGGGATGAGATGCTCTTTGTGGATTCTCAGGTCGTGGTTTGGGTACAGGCAGCAGGTGCTTGGGGAGCACTGTGTCGTTGCACAGAAATAGGTTCCTACGTCACTTCCCCGGGTGGCTGTGATGTGCAGGGAGCCGTCCTGTCTTCTTTCTCCAAATTGAGTTGTCAGTCTGTCCTGCTCCTTCACTTCTCCACCCTTCACAAGCCTCACCAAGAGGACTGGGTGTCCCCCAGGCTTCTGCTTGTACCACAGCAAGGTGTTGAAAGTGCCTGAAGAATTGCAGTACGCAGTGAAATTCTCTCCTTCCCAGATGCACCAGAATTGAGGAATTTGCTTTACCTGTTGTCCACTTATTTCTGTGGGGAAAGACAATAAAAGGCATCATACTGAATAGGTCAGGTCCCTATTCCCTAAGCTACGGTGGCCTTGGTCTTTTTCATTTATCACGCCCTTTTTTCTCCTTTCCATATTTCCTTCCTCACCTTTTATTGAGTTGTTCTTTCAAAAAAAAAAAAAAAAAAGAAAAAGAAAAACAAAGTCTACTTGTGTCTTACAAGTAAGTTTCCACCATGCTGAAAGTTCTGGAAGCAACCAGGGAATCTAGAACTCACCTGAAAATTGCATCCATGAGATCAGCACTGTCGCCATGAGTAGCATCCCGGCTCCTTCTTAACAAAGAGCTTCTGACTCCGACTGCTGCTCTGTGGATTTCCCTACAAAGACTGACTTCAGCTCCAGAAAAGCGATTTTAGTCTGTGTTGCAAAGTCTCTGTGTCTGTGCTGGAATGGAAGAGAAATACAGTAGGGCATCTCTTCAGTTTGAAGCATCTATTTTCCCCACTCACTGAAAGAGGCTGTGCTTGCACGTGCTTCCCCCTGGTGACTGCTCTTGAAAATGTCTTATGTGATCACTAATTTCCTTAAAGTTGCTTTCAAATTTAGGAGGCAGGTGTATGTGTGAAGGATTGGAAAGAGTCCATTGATACTAATAATTGCTCAGCAAGAAACGATTTGCCTTGTAAAATACACTCTTTTGTTTAAAGCTAGGGGTAAGAAAGTCTTACTTTTCCATTTCTGTTTCAAGGATCAAGCTGTGCCCATACATGTGCTCACGCAAGGCACTGGGTTAAATATTTCAGTAAGTGTGAAAAAACTCACAAGCTAATCCCCTCTAAACAGCAAATCCCCTCTAAAAGAAAATCAAAACTACAAATTTTCCTTTGTGACCTAAATTTCCCCTTGAAAATCATTCAGTTAACAGCAGTCCATTACTTTCTTATTATTTTACTTGTGGGACCCAGCTGTGAGAGCACATTAATATGAAATATTAGGAAATTATCATTCATTAGATGTCATTTCTCATGTGAACCTTATCTTTAAACAAAACCCTGGGACAGAATCTTTTCCTGTTCTGTATGGTATGTTCTGTTTTTCTATTATGTGCTTTAAACTAGCAGCTGAGTGTAGAAATTTAGAAAAAAGCCATGGGCTGTCACAGAAATCTGACCAGGCTTATCACAGTACTGGTAGCCCTGTATTACAACTTCCTGTTAATTTGCTGGCTTGGTCTCCTACACCTTGAGGGTGTACACTATTACCATCCCCAAGAATGTGCTCTCTTTTGTGGTAGTAGCCAGCTGCATAAGGATCATTACACTTAATTTAAAATTTAGTTTCTCATTCATATTGGTCATATTTAAAATTCATAATACTGGCACATGATTTACTGTCTTTTGGGTCATGAAGATGTAACACCTTACCAGTTCTCCTGAAAAATACTACTGCTAGTGGATACAGAGTCTGTAGAATTAAATTCATATGCATATTTGTTAATGTATCCCAAGTGCACTCCTTAGTAAGTAGCAAGCACTTAATAACAAAGTCCAATTTTTACCAAAATGTCCTCATTAACTAATGTACACCCAATAAATCGCAGCTGCTCAAAAATACTTACTGAATGTTGTATTAAAGTATGTGAGGCTTTGTACTCCGAATATCCCAAGGACCAAATCAAATAATTCTGCTTACAATGTACCCTTTCAGGAATCCAAACAATCACAGTTAAATATTTAACTATTTATCTTGGAAATTACATTAATTTACTGGCATTGCCCTAGGAAATTAACCAATTCAATAGCTTAAATGTCTCAAGACTTGTTTTTCTCCATTACTGGAGGCCAAGAGCCTGATATAAAGAGGTGGAGGCCACTCTGCCTCTCAAAGCTTTAGGAGAGAATCCTTCTGGGCTGCTTCTGGCTTCTGGTGGGTCCAAGCATTCTTACCCAAGACCACCTAAGTCCCATTTCTAGCTCTGTCTCCATGTGACATCTCTGTGTCTGGTAAAAGGACAGTTGGCATTGAGTTAAGACCCGTCCTAGATAAATGCAGCAAATAGCAATCTCTTTTAATTTCTGATAGCAGTGTTTGTGTGACCAAAGCTCTAGAAATAATTTCATCTTTTGTGCAATCAACAATTACATGTTGGTTTCCCTGCTGTGTGTTAGGCTGGGATGCAGTAGTGAAGGAGACAGAAAAAGGAAAATTAACCATTGGGAAAAGGAAAAATGAATTTAAAAAGTGTGATTATTTTGCATTGTGATAAGTACTACACACAGCTAATATGACACTGCACTGGGTGAAAGTCACACTTGGAGTGAGGTAGACAGGAGAGAAGGCTCCACTCTGGGGCTCTGTAACAATGGGTTAGGTGTTAATCATGTGCATGTTCAATTCTCTTTTCTGTAAGTAACCAGCAGACTTCTCTGGGTCCTGTTCTAAGCATCAGCTCTCATCATCATTCCTAATTCTCATAATAACCATGTGTGGTGTGTGTTTCCAATACCTGTGTGAGACAGGTAAGAACACTGAAGCATGGGATTGTTAAGGCAGCCTGTCCAAAACAGTTCCAATAATGGGCTGTCTAACACGATCTGGAAAACCAGATGAGGGCTGCTGTCTACCACTTACTGCCTGGTCTGCCTGACTTAATCTGTCTGCTAATAACACAATTCCCCCAACAAGTGCTTTATAAAGAGAGGAAGCTTGAGGTGGAGCAGAGATCTCATGGCAAGAGACAGAGAGTTCAGGGGTGTAGATTTTCTGATCTCTCTCTCCCTGTTCTGCTAAAGCCAATAATATTCTTTCATGAGTGTTACCTTGGGCACCTTATCTAGTGTTAGACACCTCCCAAAAGCCCCACCTCAAAACATCATTCTCACAATGGAGATTCAAATTCCACTAACTTTGAAGACTTAACAATAAAAATAAAGCAAGGGCATCTATGCAAGTCACCCAATACAATGCCTTCTCTATCTTGGGAATTTGCACAATGTATAAAATACTGGGAGGCTGGGAAACAATGCTAGAGTGTAGTGGAATCTATTCACAATATTCACAATAAAGCTCACAATATTCCAGTTCATGGATGATGATAGAAATTTAGGACTCATTACGTTTATTAAATGTTAATGAGAAATAAAGTGCATGTGGTGTTGCATTGGGGGATTGTAGCCATAATTAAGTATGGATAGTTTCCCTAAAATGGCTCATTTTTCTCCATCAAGAGGTCTTCCTCCTACTTCTAAGGATACTTCTATTATACAGCAAAGAGTAGAAAATCGATCCAGTTCCCTTAGTAGAGAAAAATCTCCCCGTTTTGCAAAGCAATGTCCAGGTAGGTACTATTCTCCAGCCTGAATTAATCATGTATTGTGTTTGTCACTTCAAGCTCAGCTACCTTCACATCTGGTGGGGCAGCACATCAGCAACACCCGGGCCTTCTGAGTCCTCTTCCTCATAATCAGTACAATGGGAAATTCACTGGCCTCGGTTGGGCAGTGATGACTCTCACTGTGACAAGGCTTCACCCTAACTTAACCTAGACACAATAGAGGACAGCAAGTAAATGTCAAAATAGTTTAGCTGGACACTGAGTGGCAACACTCACTGAACAACTGCTTCAGTTCTGCAGCTTCTCGAAAAGAAAAACATATTTATACCTAAGTTTTACAAGATGGTGACATTTGCCTACAGCAGTAGGAAATACAGAGTGCACCGTGCAGGTGTTTGAGGGAGAACATTACAGGTAGGAGGGGCAAAGGGAAAGGACAAATGTCTTGCTGTGCCATCCCGCTCAGAGTGTCTCACTCTGAGTCTGCCCCACTCCTTAGACCCTCACACTTCCCAGCACACGTGTTTTACAAGGAACTTGCTAAGGCAGCCACCACTGTCAACTGGTTTGTTTATTTTCCTAACCCATTGATCTTTTTTTTTTTTAAACTTTTTTTTTGTCTTTTTGAGACAGTGTCTCGCTATGCAGTTCAGGCTGACCTTGAGCTCACTTTGTAGCATAGGCTGGTCTTGCACTCACAAAGATCCTCTTGCCTCAACCTCTGGAGTTTTTTATTACAGGTGTGAGCCACCATGCCTGGCTAACCCATTGATTTTCTCGTAATTTATACTCAGGTTTGGCAGAAATTTCACCATCACTGACACCCTGGTCACCCTGCGCCGGTAACATTCCTTCTCTGCAGCCAAAACTCTGCTCCTTAGGACCTGCGCTGCTGTTTCACCCTCCCTCAAAATACAAGTCAAAAATGTTCTTTAGGATGAAGAAAGTTTGATGGCATCTTCCAAACATTGATAAATGGGAAAATAAAACTTACACTATAGTACTTTTATGATTAAATTATATGACAATTCTGAAGTGTGTAATACAGTGCTTCACATGTATTGTGCACAATTATATTAGCTTTCTCTTTTTGGTAAAAACCCACTGTATTACTCAGGGTTTTACTAAAGAAAACAGATAACACAAGATATACAGATGTATAAGAAACCACAAGATTGGCTTACGATGGTAAACTACAGAGTTGGATAGGAAGTGTGCAGAGAGTGTCTACACAATGGAGGCCAAAGAAGTCAACCCAAGGTGTGGAGTTCACCCTAGTGTCTTGTGCAAGTCACACCAGCAGGATGATGGGTCTGTGACAGAAGGCCGAAGCCTCTACAATAAATGGCTGAAGAGTCTATGCTGGAAAGCTAAAGAGTCTACACTGGAAGCCAGGAGACCAGCTCTAAACCAAAGGCAAAGACTGGAGCTTCTCCCAAGAATGGAATGCATCTGTCCTTCCTCCTTCCCTTTTATACCTCATGGTGATGAGCCACACTAGGGTGGGTCTTCTACACCCGAGGGTGTATGGTTGCTAAATCCATTTAGTTAAGCTTCCAAATGTCTCAGATTCCCACCATCAACCAACCACTACACCCACTTTTGCTTCAGCACTCATTGTAGGACTCACTGATGTTTTTTCTCCTCTTCTCATAGGTTGCATGAAGGAAGCTTCTAGAAAATTAATCATTACTTGTCTGAAGATAGCGATTCTTTCCCCATCTTCTTTGGGTTATTTCCTATAGTAATACACTTGGGTTGCTGAGACTCTCAAATGGACTTTCTTTTGTTTCCTGAATATGATACTAAATGTTTTTATATGCTTGTTATCTAATGAGTATCATATTTCTGAAGTAGCTAGGTTTTTATCCTATTTATTATTCATTTTCTTATACATTTACATGAGCATGTGGTCTTTTTTAGAAGTAGACACTGCTAATGTAGGTTTTAACCCTGTGTACTGACTTTTACCATCTTAGCAGTGATTCTTTTTTATTTCATAAATGGCCTTTAACGTTTCCCTCTCACAGCACACTGCTGTGTAAAGTAGAAATGGCACATAACTCCTCCAGACTGGCTGGAGGAAGGCAGCTGGCAGGTACCTGGCTGCTGTGCAGCTGGAGTGGCCCC